CCAAATCCCATTTCGAAAAGCCTATCGGCCTCATCGAACACCACATACTCTATGGAAGAGAACAATGTCTATTAGAGTTTATTGGAAATAATTATTTGCTGTGACATACCTATTGAGTTAAGTTTCAGGTCCATTTCTACACACAAATGCAGAAAGCGGCCCGGCGTAGCTACAATAACATCTGGGCAAGTATGTATAGCTGAAAATTGCGAATCCATGGAATCGCCGCCCAGTACTAAAATCGTTTTCAACTCCATAAAACGACCCAGATCCTTAATGAATTTATATGTTTGCACAGCCAGCTCACGTGTTGGCGATAGGATCAGAGCACGTGCTCCTTTTGTGGGCTCGCGGCGCTGCAACTTCTCAAACATAGGTATAAGAAAGCAGGCGGTTTTGCCGGAGCCTGTTTTAGCCATGGCTACAACATCACGTCCCTCCAAAATCAATGGAATGGTTTTTCGCTGAATGGGCGTGGGTACCTTGTATCCACGTTTTGTTATACCCTTCAGCAATTCAAATCCCAGACCTAAGGATTGAAAGCCACCGCTCTTTTTCGATTTTGGTTTGTTTTTAAGTATGTCATCGTTGCCGCCGCTGGTGCCATTCTGTTCCAATGACGGAAAGCCAGGTATTTCATCGTGCTGTTTCTTACGCTAAAATTTAACGCTGATTAAATATTAATTGTTAAAACATTTAACACAGTTCTACTCACCATTTCCGCACTATTCAAGTAAAATAAACGAAAAACTTATTTACACGTGCATGTGCACAGTGTGCCCTTAACAAATTTAGCGAATTCTGAAATATCGATACTTTAAATATCGATAGGGTCATTTTTAATTTAACTTCATAGTATCGATATTACATCTTTCTGATTAACAGGTTGAGCATTACAGAAGTACGTAATGTGGGCAAAAATCCGACTTGCTGAGTTTTATTTCCGTAGATAAAGTATGTGGAGTAAAGTATTTATATTGCCAAAATTGACTTAAATAATTGGGAAATACGAATAATTATCTTAACAGTGCCATAATGAGTCAAGTATCGATAAGATTCTTATCGACCATTTACCAACGGAAAATTCAAAAACTTACTGCTAAAAAGAAAAACTACATATTGTAAGGGGAAATTGTAATTTTTCAGGAAAATATCTATTAGTTAAAAATATTAGTTTTATATATATAATATAGAAATAATATTTATTATTCTAATGCCCTCTGCCGGGGTATAAACAGAAAAGCCTTGAAAAGGATTATCTATAAAATACTTAATTAAGCTGTCTATCTCGAGCTCATAGTTTACTTAACTTACTGTTTTCGTTCAGTTGATCCGAGTTGATTACAAAGACAATACAAACACTAAGCTCAGTTATGCCCAAACATTTAAATGCGACGGAAAATTTCTGGTGTGGTTTTTCGGTCTTCAAAACGAACGATTGCCGGGAATGCAAAGTTGGGTAGATCAGGGTCAGAAATTAATTTCTTCGCCAGCAAAAAGCCATTACAGTGGATCACACATATACATATAGGCTTCGGTATAGTATGTATGTATGTTGTTCATATACATGCACACATCATGAGACCGAAGTCGAGAGTACATTCTATTTTTAACATTTTTGGGGGAGCGAAAGGGTACCGATTTTGTTTACGTTCTCAATTTTGTGAACATTTTGTTGTATGGCATCATTTATCTATCTTTTGCTATACCCTATACCCTAGCTTCCTATGCTGAGAGGTAGATAGATCATTAAAATAAATGATTAAAAATATATCAGAGCATGTTACCATGCTATCCGGCATTTAACATAAGCTTTTACCAAATGTTAGTTTTTATATGTTGTTCAATGATTCTTTTGATATCACTTAATACAACCTTCATTAACAATACCAGAGCATAGGGTATATGAGAAAAAATATTTCATGCATAAAACATGTTTTTAATTGCCTCTCGGCTTGAGTGTGTGTGTGTGTGTGTGTTTGTGAAAATTTATAAACAAATTGTAAGTCATGCTTATGAACTGAATTTCGTTTTATTTCGCAAGAAATTCAAAGCTAATTTTCAATTATCTAAAAACAAAAGTATTAAAGCAATTTTGCATGGGAATAAAACTAAACATAATGTTTATCTTCGAAAATGGTTTTCCTTATTTCGATTTTTATCAAATTGTTAATATAAAATTATCTATTATATGGGTCGGTTATTTAAGTACTTTGTGAAAAAATACCTGATTACTATGAATATATATGTACAAATAATAGATACCTTATCTTATATATAGTTAAAAATTCGTTTCTACCTTTTCAGTCTATTGCAGCACATCAGCAAATTCGGCAAAAAAAAAGTAATAAATGATAGAAGCTATCTCCTGCGATCATGAAATTGAAGAGAGCAAGCAAGAGCGAGAGTGTGCTAGAGAGTGGAAGAGAGAGCAAGAGAGAGTTGGGAACTGAATATGCAACGAGCGAATCAAGGTACGATTCTATAGACTGGAATAATGCTATCAGCATTACGTGACGCTTTTCAAATCTAATAGCTAAATGCCCATGTATTACGAGAGAGAGAGAGAGGGGGAGAGAGAGGGAGAGAGAGGGAGAGAGAGGGAGACGGAGATGACGAGTAGCCAAACAGCTGCTCACGCACAGCCAGCTGTGCTATAAAAGTGACGCCATCTTAGACGTTGGCGTTCAGTCAGAGCGTTGATATTTGGCGAGTCGAACTAAAAACAAATAAAATGGATCGTTGGTTAAATCGTGTTGCCGTTGTAACTGGCGCCAGTTCGGGCATTGGTGCGGCATGCTGCAAAGATTTGGTGGGCAAGGGCATGGTCGTGGTGGGCCTGGCGCGTCGCGAGAATCGGCTTCAGGAGCTGAAGGCGGAGCTGCCGTCGGATCAGGCGGCGCGCTTCCATTTCCGCACCTGTGACGTGAGCGTGGAGCAGCAGGTGATCGATACCTTCGCCTGGATCGATAAGGAGCTGGGCGGCACAGATGTGCTGATTAATAATGCGGGCATTGTGCGTCACACCCAAATTATCAGCGAGGGCAATGGCGCCGATCTACGGGCCACATTGGACACCAATGTGCTGGGTGTCTCCTGGTGCACACGCGAGGCGTTCCTTTCGATGGAGCGACGCCAGATCAACGATGGTCACATACTCATTGTCAACAGCGTTGCCGGACATCAGGTGCCCATTATGCCGCAGATGAGCTTCAATATGTATGCGCCATCCAAGCATGCGATCACCGCACTGACCGAGGTCCTGCGCCAGGAGTTTCTCAACAAGGGCACCAAAACAAAGATAACAGTAAGTGAGGAATACCCTTTATCTGTATCGATTCTTATATTGTGCATTATTTTCACTATAGAGCATTAGCCCTGGCGTTGTGGATACCGAAATTATTGACAAGGACAAATTATCCGCCTTGGGTTTTCCCATGTTGCGCTCCGAGGATATCGCCGATGCAATCACCTACTGCATTCAGACACCTCCAAATGTCCAAATACACGAGCTCACGATCCGGCCTGTTGGTGAGAAATTCTAGGCTCACCAAATGGAAACAATGAAAGCACATACAACTATAATTTAATATCAAAATAAGATTATATTTATTAAATTTGATCTTCTAACAATTATAATCTGCGATTATGTTTCACAACAAAATGTGTTTTCCTTTAAGCAAATGGGAAAAAGCATAAGGGAATTTCTAAGTAAATTTTGGATTCTTACAATAGTTGCTTTTTTGTTTATATACAAAAAAGTAGATATTTAAACGCATTTGAGAGCTCGAGCTATCTTCAAAATTAGTGTTACCAGATTTGCCAAAGACAAAAAACTTTATTGCATGAATTTCTGTGCTGCCAGATCAACAGAACTATGATTCAGTTTGCAGCTGTTGACATTCCAAACATTTTATGCGATCAATTGCTATGGTTCTATGTTATCAAAAAAGACGAGTTTTTATGGTTTCTATAAGCACAGTTGCCTATTGACAAAAATTGGATTGTGCCATGTCGGCACGCCGAATATTATGTGTAGCATCTTGTAAGGTGGCTAAATGGCAAAAATATCTGACGAACAGACAAATTATCTATACAAAAACTCATAATCGACCGATTTTTCCTATATAGCTATACGACATATACGTTGATATATGCATGAAACATGTATAAGAAACAAGGCAGATCAGATTGCCGAGCTGCCGCTTGCACTTAAAGTTACTGCCTTGGAAATTCAAACTAATTAAACTGCCCTCGTAAATACTAGATCTTAAGACGCCAATATACTATCGGCTAAGCAGTTGTTGCGATGCGCCTTGGTTTCGACTACTATTAAGGTTGCATTTGCATTTGTTATCGATTCGGTTGGCAAATTTGAAAAGTATTTTGTTGTAGAAAGAACAGTTGGTGCAGGCAATGGAAATAAACGACCAGTTTGGTAGAAAAGATCCAGACATGGAAATGGGGAGCATCGGTTGCCGTGTTGAGAAAATATTATTGAATTTATGTCAACTTTATTAATCTATTTTTTTACTGTAAAATTTGTTTCGTTTTTCAGTATATTTTCTTCGCGGGTTATAACTGATTGTATTTTTCAACCTTCAATATTATTCACCTGTTCTATCATAACATTTGCAGGTGGATTGATCGATTGACGTGATGGTAGTTGACAACTGGACAAAGCGATAAAAAGCCGAGCTACTCCTTTTGCGGCTGAGATTAAGCTTCACATAGGGATGATTCTGCTGGCGACATCAGTTCTGCTTTCGGATTTTATTTAATTGCTTTGTTAATCTGCTCTGCGTTCTTTATTAAACGCTCTTGCCGATTACCTAAATGAATTTTTTCTTCTTTACTTAAGTTACAATCATATAAAAATCCTTCTACATACTGAACGCTAGTGTTACAGCTTGACTGATGTCATCTGTTAAGCTCCTAGCTGCTAGGCAGAGCGTATCAATCTCAGCAGTTAGACAATTGAGCATATCGTTGCGTTGGTTTTATGTTAAAGCAGCAAATAAATCCAGATCGGGATCCCAGAATAGTGGAAGCTTACCATATTTTCCAGACGTCACCAAACAATTCGCCAGCTCTCTGAACATCTGCACAGAAATAGGAATTCATGAATAAGTACTAAGGGTCTTACGTGCCAACTTATATACACCTACATCGATCAGTATCTTATTTAGCTGTTGGGTTTTCCAATAGGTCGTTGGCCTGGCATCTATTTGCCATAGCAATAGGGTCTTGATATAATAGCTCTTTAAGGTGCTGATATTTTGTTTTGAGTCGCGGAACTTCTTGATAAATTTAATAACATGCTTTAGCTTATATTTATCTTTTATCATGGCATATTCGGCTTCATAGTACGATGCCCTAAATGACACATTGTTTGGCTCGAATGGCTTCAAGGGTTTTGGAATCGCACTCCAATACGGAATGTTCTTGAAGTACTTGAGTTTTTCTTGACTCAACACAATTTGCTTTACATTCAGCTTAATGGCAGGCACAAAATCCACAGAGTACTTCATATCCGCTTCGTTAACATCTATTGTATGTGCCGGTCCACAACTTTTATACATCAGTTGGGCAGTTTTACCATCGACCTCAATTTTGTTTTCCATTTTATTTAAAGCCCGTGTTACAGCACCTTTTATCATATCCTGCAGCTTATTCTCTTGAAGTAAATTGGTGGACGTAACCAATTTTTTCAGAAACGTGAATGTGATTTTATTTTGAGGTTGATTATGCAAAATATTTAGCACTTCCGTCATGTCCAAAGTAACATTACCCGGCTTAGCACAGTCTCTCCTCACAACGATTCTGTCATTCTCTGGAAACTTTAAATGAAATACCAAATCGAATTCATCGGGTTTCGTTACTTTTAGTTTATCCGCATAACTTCCTATATAGAAATAAAAATTTAATTACAAATTCTCTAGATTTTGAAAATTGCAAAGAAAGGCGGTTTCTTAGCGAAGGCGAAAGCCAATGTGACAGTGACCCAGAGGAAGAGCGAGAGGGAGAGAGAGAGGATTTCACTTGTTTGTTTTTCTTTGTATTATTTTGAGCCATTGAAGAATAATGAAGTACAGTAATTCTTAAAGGAGTGCATTGTGTGTGTTGATATCAGAAATGCTCTTCTTGATTCACGTACCTTCTAATTTATGTCCGCATAACCATTTGCCTAATGGATTCTCCTGTTGCAACGTGGAATAGAGCGCATCTCGTAACTTTCCATAATGATTTGTGTATAATTTCCGATGCGCATTAATATTTATAAAATTTGCGCTAATTGACTGAAGATGTTGTTCCAGATTGGTCATTTTTTTTCTACTCTGTTTGGGAAATGGGATCTTTACTTGAACAACTCAAGAATCACACTAAAAGCGAGACTCAAGCGATACACAAGAAACAAAACACAAGCAAAGCAATGATTCAGTTGGTTCGCTCGAGCAGATACCCTGTATCAAGCCCAGAAATAACGGAAAATATATGTAGCACAAATTTCTCGGTGCTCTGTTTAAAGAGCTGCAGCTATTTGATGCTCTGCACTACTGAAAATAATATTTGAAATAACATTATAGTTTTCTGTTTTGAGTGTACAAACACAATAATAATATATTAAGGCCGAACTTGATCTGGTAAATGGTATCGTATCGAATTTAGAGGACAGAAAAGATTTTCTGTTTCACTTGCATAACTCTTTTATGCCCTTTATACTCCCTATAAACATGCGTGTGCGTGCTGCTATAAGAAGTTGGGGATTCCCCAACTATTGTAGTAAGACATCTGATGCGTCAACTTTAAAAATGAAGGGGCCTGAGTAATCCATAGCCTAAATATTAAACGAAAACATGTTGCAGTACTAACTGAATATGTTATAATGTTTCACCATAAAGAAGTTTTTCTTAAAATTTGCTGAAGACATTATTAAAATGCTCACACAGGAAGAAATACTTAAATCAACAAAATATTTATTTTTAGGTGATAATCCGAGCGCAGGTCTAAATTCATTTAATATATATTCTGAGGAAATACATGCAAATAGAGAATTTTAGAGAGAGGGTGATAAAGGAAGAGAGACAGAGAGAGAGAGAGAGGCAAATAAAGGGAAACAGAAAAGGAAACGAAGTGCAATAGACTAAAAGACCGCAAGACTTACTTGAATATGTGAGAATCACGTAGAAGGGCCATACTCAAAAACAGCTGAGCTTGCAATTCCGAGCTTCAGTCAGTCAGTTATTCAAAATAAATGGTATATCGATTAAGCATGCTCCTCGGCTTTTTTCTTTTAATTCGCAATAAACCTGCAATTTCAAGTGTTTAATGAGGTGTTTGTCAGGAACTGTTCTGCTGAGTTCATTCACAAGTCAGTAAGCCAACTGGAATATATGAAATGCTTAAAATCAGATAATTGATAATGCTGTTGATAAGCATATGAGTAAATCAACAGATGCATGTGCTGGTAGATTATAGTATACTGGCGATAAAGCCAATAGGCAGATCTGCCGAACCCCTACCAAGTGCTTTACGATTGGTATTTATCTATAAACAAAAGTGGTTCAAATTCTTTGCACGCCGTTTGCATTCGGTTGACATTTTTATGGGGTTTCTTTTACAGTGCCAATTATAGATGCTTATCCAGGCTCTATGCGGATCGGACTCTTAAATGGACTCACTGCCACTTCTTGAATAAACAAATTAATGTTATTGTTAAGTTTCGCGTAAATAAATGTTGCGTTTTGCCCTCAAATTGATAACATTCGGTGGCAGCTGAAGAGCGGTCGTAAAACTCTTCAGCCGATAATCGGGGTCCCAGATAATGCCGTTTGGCCTGTGAAATATAAGGCCTGCGCCCGTTCACAGGGGCAGACATAGTGAAAGTGAAATTGGTTAAAACATGAAGTACCTGCTTAGTGTGACCCTCCTGCTGGCCATTGGCTTCCAACAGATCGATGCGCACGGCATGATGTTGAGTCCGCCGAGTCGATCCTCGCGCTGGCGCTTCGATGGCTCAGCGCCGCAGAATTACAACGACAACGAGCTCTTCTGCGGTGGTTTATATGTGGGCACCTCTGAGCACCGATGTCAAGTACGTGTTCGACATTGATCCTTTCCCAATCTTGCAGACCCAGGCCAATAATGGGGGGCAGTGTGGCCTGTGCGGCGACAACTTTTCGACTGGCCAGCCGCGTCCCAATGAGATTGGCGGACAGATTGGCGGCAGCGGCGTCATCACCAAGAGCTTTACGGCCGCTAATGCCATTACCGTGGGCGTCAAGATCACCACCAACCATTTGGGACACTTTGAGTTCCACTTGTGCAACTTGGATACCTTTGGAGGCGAATCTGAGGAATGCTTCAATCAGCATCGTCTACGCTTTCCCGATGGCAGCGACAAGCTTGAGATTGGCACCCAGAGCGGCGAGTTCGATGTGACTGTCCTGCTGCCGGAGGGTCTTACCTGCCAGCACTGCGTCCTGCGTTGGACCTATGTGGGCGGTAAGTGTCAACTTCTGTGTATTTCCACACTTCACACTCTCATGTATCTATTTGAACTGTTCGTATAGCCAACAATTGGGGTATGTGTGACAATGGCACCGGTGCCCTGGGCTGTGGTCCACAGGAGACCTTCAAGAACTGCGCTGATGTGAGCATCTACTGGGGCCGCAACATGCTCAAGGAGCTGGCGGCAGGCGCCGCTGCCAAGCCCGTTGTGCCAGAGGAGGTCGACTCCGTCGAGGCATAAGTGCTGATGGCAAAGGCCTGAACATTTTGTACTGAATCAAAGCCAAATATTTAATTAAACGAAAGCATTTTTCCGCAAAACTAGCCTTTATAATACGAACAACTCTCAACTTGAAGAGTTTTGGATGTCTCTGTAGTTACATCTTGCTGCGATGCACTGCTTGTCTTAGATTGCGTTTATTGTTAATCCCAGACACAAACCACAAACAATAATAATCTGCTTGGTAGCTGAGCTGTTTCCGGTTTATTATGCCTTTTTGTGTACTTCCGTGCACTGCTTGAACTGCTTTCATCTTACCTAAGGCGCACAGAGTTTCAGAAACGTTTCTTGATATTTTGACCCAATTTTTGTTCATATTTATTTATACCTATAACAAGAATAATCTTTTGGATATGGTAAAATTGTATGCTCCGTTCACAAAATGAAACATTTTGGATGTGCACAATGTCCAGCTGTCCGCATGAATACAAATGTTTGGTCAGAATTCTGAGTACAATTAATATAATTATTATTTTATATTATTCCTAGCGATTGCCGTGATAGCCCCCCGAATTACCTAGGAAAATATTCCAAATAACATCAATTAGTGGGGGTTGTAAATGCGTATACACAAATACAAAAACATCGCCAAGAAAAAAACACATATTACGCAGGAAAAGTTTAATATTTACTTGAATTTATGAGAATCGAATAGTAGGGAGGTATACTAAAATGGTATACTAATATGATGTATTGAAAAAACAAATGAAGCCGAGTATTTTTTTTTGATTTTAATAAACGCATACATTACCCAAGAGATTTATAGGTAGAGTGGAAAGGTTAGTTTACAGCTTATCGCAGGAAAACGCAAGTGGGTCAGACCTTGGCAAATATCCAAGTGCGTCAGTCCTTAAATGTGCCCAATGCCTGCGATAATATCAATGATTTCACATGTTTTCAAATCACGATTATGAAACGAATATAAAGATTGTCGGCAATTAATTGTTCCCAAGCACCAATGAACACTCAACTTAATTAGACTCTTATCTCTTTAACTTTCGCCAAAACCTTGAACCAGGCAATTTTTTTTTTGTTGGCAAACTAAACAATGTTATATCGAAGGCTTGCCTGGTTTACAGTTGATTTATTAGCAAATTTAGCCAATAAAAAAACATTCTCAGGAATATACAGTGAGCACTCGCTATAAACTAAAGCGCGAAATTAAAATTATATAAATAAGGAGCCTTGGTTCGTATTGTTTAAGAACTGAAATTGAAATTGAATGAAATTTCCAAGCAAAATTTGTACTTTATTGAGACTTTCAGAGAGCTTTAAAATGTTTATGAGTCAATAATGTGAAATAATATTGCAAATATTTGGATTGTTTGGATGTGTCACGCTTGTTTTGATCAATAAGGAACGCTATCATTTCTCAGAGTGATATTACGATTCGGCAAAATTTGGGCAAGACTAAAATGATCATATACATGCTTGATAGACGCCTGATAAGAGGCCAATTATCTTTATATGATCGTTGATAGCATTGCCTGAAAATCCGAAGAGTTCCTTGTAAGCCGATAAGGCCCCAACAATGTGCAGCTATATAAGACTTGCCCACTGGGAGGCAGGGCCCAGTGAAAGGGAAAGTGCCAAAGAAAATGAAATACCACAGTATTACCACAACGGGAGTATTGATCTGTTGCCTCATGGTGCAGATCGATGGCCATGGCATGATGTTGAGTCCCGTGGCGCGTTCATCACGCTGGCGTTACGACTCCTCGGCGCCGACAAACTACGATGACAATGCGCTCTACTGCGGCGGCTTTTGGGTATGTGTGTGCCACTGCTGAAGGTGCTGGGATAATTGAAAAACGAATGCGTTCACTTTACGCAGAAACAAACGGAAAACGACGGCCAGTGCGGCTTGTGCGGCGACGACTACAGCCTGAGCGCGCCCAGAGCTAACGAATTGGGCGGTAAATATGGTGCCGGGGTCATAGTGAAGAGCTACAACGGCGCCAGCTCGATTGAGGTAAATGTGCTCATTACCGCCAATCATCTTGGCCACTTCAGCTTCCATCTGTGCAGCCTGGATGAGCATGGCAGCGAGTCGGAGCAGTGCTTTGATAAGTATCCGCTGCAGTTTGCCGATGGCAGCCGCAAGTACTACATTAGCTCCAAGACCGGCAGCTTCGATGTGACCTTAAAATTGCCCAGTGGGGTCAGCTGCCAGCATTGCGTGCTCCGTTGGACCTACACGGCGGGTAAGCGCAGTCGATTACCCGAGTATATGGGCCCAACTTTACGCTCTTTTATCAGGCAACAACTGGGGCGTTTGTGAGGATGGCAGCGGTGCTATGGGCTGTGGTGCTCAGGAAACCTTCAAGAATTGTGCGGATATCAGCATTGTGGCCTCAGCCCGGGGCCTGTTGGAGGCCTCTGCGCTGGCTGAGTTGCCTGTGCCGGTCGAGGAGGTGATTGCATAAGGAAACAGCAGATGCAGATGCTCCTCATTTCCAATAGAACAAATAAGTATTAATCTCAAAATTGTTTGTTACAATCTGTTATAGATGAGATTCTGTAATGAATGCATGTTTCATTTTTATTTAATAAATTTTCTTTTTATATTTTATATGTATGTATATATGTATATGCCTGTGGTTTGTATGTATATACTATGTATATCAACTTTTTGCTTGCATGTATTCTTCGGCCTGTTCCTGCGGCTCTGTATGTGTGTGTGTGTGCTGCTTGAAATTGAGTCTGAAACATTTGCAACTGCTTGGCAACAGTGTTGACAACTGCCGCCGCAAATAAAGCCTGCTATTCGTTCAGTGTTGAATAGCTTAAATTGGCAATAAGCAGTGTTGTTAGTGTACAACTTCAGCCGTTTCCCGCTGACGAGCTCTGCAAGTAGCCGAATTTAGCTAGAAAATATTCGAATTGGCAACACGAATCGGCGCACAGCTCTGCAATAAATATTTGTGTGTATGCTGGCACTACATATGTATGTAAATGTGTATATATAATATATGTGTATATGTATATGTATATGTAGATGTAAACGTAAATGTATATGTATATGTATGCTATGTAATTTGTAATTTGTATCATTCGCTTAAAAATATGTTCACAATAACTGCCTTATTAATTAGGTTCACAAATAAGTTTGTATATATATTAATTTTTACAAAGCGTTCAGGTCGTTGGCAAAATCAAAGAATCGCAATCCATAAATTCAAATTGTTATTTTCGCGCATTGAACTCAATTATATCATAGCTTTAGAATTGTGCAATCATTTACTTAATATAAGCACATTTTCATGCCTACACGAGTGCCTGCATGTATTTATGTATTTAAGTATATATTTGTTTAACAATTAACCAAAACAAATCGCAAACAACATTGTGTAACGTTTGGGGCTTTTTTCTCTTACTATTGTTAATATTATATTGTATTTTATTTAAAGGATTGCCACTAGAAATTTCATCAAATAGTGTTTTTTAAGTTTTATTTTATTTTTTTTTTTTGCTTTTAGCTCTATTTTGCTTTATTTATGTTCATTTAAAACTCTTTGTAACCTCAAACTACTTAAGTAAATACATTGCCAAGTTAAAAACTATAAAAAACAGCTTGGGCTCATGCATACTTTATTTTTAACTCTTCGAAAGTGTGCGAATTGTTCACAACTGAATTTATTTATTTTGTTTTTTTTTTTTGTATTATTTTTTAATAATGTTTATTTTCCATACGCAGTTTAAAATACAGTTTTTCTTTTTGAAAAAATATAGTACATACATATGAAATGTATGTATGCCTATTTCCAAATGTGATTTCTGCAACCATTTGTAAAAGCACGTTGTAAATTTTGCACAAGCTTCTGTAAAATTTACTCACATAATTTGTTTTTTTTTTTTTTTTAAGATTTTTTATTTTTATTTTTTTTATAAATAGCTAAATATTTCATCTTCTTTTAAAAAAATGTAACATTATACAACACTATTTGTTTTTTAATACCTGAATTTTAGAATTTTGTATCCGAAACGCCATTTTTGGTTTGACTATGTGTCTGTGTGTGTGTGTGTCTGAGTGTGTGTGTGTGTGCTTGCTTGTTCGAGTTTTGTTTGTTTTCTTGTAATTTCTGGTAGTTTTTTTCATTATAAAAAATTTTGTTAGGTCGAAATTGTTGTTTGCCAAAAAGTTTCTGTTTCGCCCTTGTATACTATCTGCTTTGTATTGTATAAGTTCTCAAGATTGGTTGTAAACGAGTGTGTCAAAAGTTTGTCAGCGGTTTGTTTTGCGATTTGCCAATATATTTGCAGCTTGCACATATCCTTAATTGACTAACTTGAATGCCGACAGAGTTCTGGAAGGATGTTGATTGGATTAACCGTTAGTTGGTGTAAGTTTGTGGATTTGGGTCTATTAGACTAACTTTTATATTACGTATTAAGTTTAAAGTTGGTTTTTTTATATTTAATCATTGGCACAAATTCGCTATCTGAGTTCCTGTCTATCAGTTGCTTTTTAGCCTGCGGTTTATTTATATTAGATTTAAGTTAAAACAGAATTTACTGAACTGAATCTGCTAAGAACAAAAGGGAAACGAACAATATTTTGTGCTCAAGTGTGTTTGTGAGTTGTTTGTTTTGTTTTCCAATATGCATCACGATAATAATTTCACACATTTGCTTTGCTTATAAACTTTGTTTTATTCTTTTTATAAACATTAACATGCTAAAATGTACTTTCTTTTTATTATATAAAATTTTGTTTTCAACTATATTCATTAAAAAACATAATAGCTAAACGAAACTAGTTTGTAAATTATAAGTAAGTGCGGCTTTAAAAAGTTGTAATTAAATTTGTTTAATAACTAACTATTACACAAATTAAAAGTGTGCGTGTACGTGTGTGTGTGTGTGTGTGTGTGTGTATGTGTGAGTTGGCTGTCATTTAAAAACGAAAAAATGCCAAAAAATTAACAATGCTTTCATTTTCAACTATGTTAATTTGCATTATAATTTGATTTTAAAGTTCGGTTTCAAGCATTGTCGGTAAATACGTAAGTATATATTTTGCACGCACTGTAGCAATGGCCAGCTGAACTAAAACAAAAACAAATGAAGAAACTAAGCAAATAATGTTTTAAAAATTAATTAATTAATGACAGTAAACAACAGACACAACAGCACTTTAAGTTCAACACAAACACACGTGATAATACAAAAGTTTCTGGCATTTGGACTTCTCGAAAAGTTGGGGCATTTGAATTGAAATTTGTTTAAAGCTTGTTTAAGAACTACTTTTAGAAACTAGAAATATTATCATTACGATTGATGAAAGCCAGAAAAGTATTTAAAATTAATCGCAGTCACACACTCTATTTATAAATTAAAATTTAAATAAGCGAAACTACATAAAGAACTAAGTTATGCGTGTAATTATTCGTAATACAAATAATAATCATAATCATAATAATAATAAAAACAATTAAAAACATTAATAATTCATATATTGCAGCAACAGTGGAAGACAGTTTTCTGTTTATCAAATTTTTCATGCTGTTTCGCAATTGCAATTCTTTTCACTTTTCTTATTGTTTATGTTGTTGTTGTTGTTGTTGTTGTTTGTTTGTTTGTGATTGTTCTTCAATATTTATTTGCTGTATACAGGATTAAAGTTAAAGGTTGCTAAAGCATAAAGAAACAACGATCTAAACCCTAAACTAATTAATTATTAAATTAAAAATTGCTTATTCAAATTAAAATATACAACAGCATAAAAATTTAAGGCCAGAATAATAGTGGAATAATGTACATACAATTTAAAAAAATGTTTTCATTTTCAATGTGCCAAAAAAAAAAAGAAGACGAAAAAGCAGACAATTTAAAATTTCTTTCGAAAACCGTTAAGACTAATTAGTTATATAATTAGTTGTACAATACAACTACAATTTCTCCATTCAGCCTACAAATTGAGTGTGTGTGTGTGTGTGTGTGTGTGTTATCGTGTTATTCGATTTGTGTTCATTTTCTTTTGTTTCTGTTTTTTTTTTTGTTTTTGTTTTTTTTTTTAAATTCTTTGCTTTTTACTTGTGCTAAATACACTTCAAAATTAATGTGCAATTTGGGTTAAGTTTAGATCTTAAATTATTATTTCTTTTATGGGGTATTCATTGTGTTTGCTTGCTTATTGTTGTTGTTGTTTGTTGTAGTTGTTGCTTGCCTGTAAATTATTAACTAAGCCATTATACAATAATGTTGCCATAATGTATGTACTTCATATATGCTTCAAAAAGTTCTATCTTCCAACTGGTTAACTTCTTAATTTCTCGATTTATTAAGCTGCTTAATAAACTCATTCCTACTGTCCCTCTATCTTTTTCTACTGTCTCTCTGTCTCTGTTACGCTTGTAGTAGTATAGGCCTATTGCAATTAAAAAATGTATCTTTTCTTATAATTTTGTTTTTGTTTTTGCATCTCTAGATAGAAATGTTTTCCACATGTATCTCGTACATGCTCAGTATCTATGTGTGTCTGCAATTATTTCAGTTATCGTTTTGTTTACTAATTTTAAGTAATTTGTCACTCGCAGCGTATCCAGTTCATGCGTGTCCTTATTCTGTGATCCTTCATTGAACCAGCGACCTCACTTGAACTTCTCCTTCCTACTTGTACTTGTTCTCATTTTCGGTTAGTTTGTTAAGATGATTCACCTGCTGCTGTTGTTGTTGCTCCGCAAGTTGTTGTTGCTGCTGTTGATGTTGCTGGTGCATACCTGTCGTATAGTAATACGGAAAAACATCTATACAATGTTTTCACAATAGAAAAAGGAAATTCAAATTACAAGTTGAAAACGAAAATGGCAGAGGAAAAGTACAGTGAGCAGAGGTTGTGTGGGGACAAGACATTGTTCCTACATAATTGTCCGACATGATTTTGGTTATATGCAAGGTGCGAAGTCAAACTAATAAATTACGGGTCGATCGATCGTTCGTATGTCAGCTATATGATTAAGTTGTCCGATTAGGCCGATTCCCAAATATGTAACGATTACAAATGATCTTATACTGACCCGAGTCTACATATGTATATACTTTCTTAACTCACAGATGTCTATTTGAATGGCTTACACATTTCGTGGCGAAACTATAATACCCTCTGAAATTATTCTTAGTTCTAGTTAAAAAAAAAAAAAAAAAAAATTTTATGGTTCACGCTACTTTTGTATAATGTTGTGAAGGTATTTAGTGTTTGTTGTTGGTAAAAATAAACTTATTTGGGGCACTTTTAAACAGAATTTCACAAAGAAACCTCTTTTTGATTGCTGACAAATTGGGAATTAGAGAGTGGCATGAAATAAGGAATAAGGAGTAGGGAGTTGTACAATGTGAATATGGATTCGCTGATACGCATACACAAATCTTTTTTCTGCTTCCAAATGGCCTTTTTACTCCCTGTTTATTACCTGACGCTGCTACAGCATTGTTTTGGGCATTTAGACTAGCGCTCAGCGTGGCCGACGAGCAGTTGGAGTCGGAGAGCGTGTTGGGACCAGCCGAGTGGGGTGTGCAGGGCAGAGCGCCCATGGCCTTTTGGCGCACCTCGCGTATCTTTAGCTGCAGATCTTGTTTGCGTGGAAAGAGATCGATGTGCTTGGTCTGTGACAAGTGGATGAATACGATTAGGATTGAAAGTTCATATTCTATGCTTAGCAACACGCACCTGAAAGGCAATAGTGGCCTGAGAGGATGGGAATACGCCGTGCTCATTGAACAGCTGCATGACTAAATTGCGACGCGCTTCTAGGACCTTGCGGTGTCCCTTCTCGCTGGCATCGGATCGAGCGCTCTGCAACGGCGTTTTGGGCGTGCGCGGCGAACGGCCTGTTTGATCGCCGGTCTCAAGTTCTGCAGCAAATTGGAGATTAGTTCCAGGTGCATTTGTGCAAATACTACTTGGACTAGTTGGTTTACCTCTCAGATCATTGTTAAAATCGGCGCCAAAGAAACGCTGTGTGGTTGTTGGCGGCGCCGAGGCAGGCTCCTCAATCGAATCATCCTCGCTCACTGGAAAAATTGCATGTGATTAGCAATGGGAATTTGTAATGATTGTGTTATCAATACGTACTTAGTTTCTGGACCGGCGGCTGCACTGCATTCTTTTTGCGATAATTGGTGCCATAGACGCGCGGCGGCGAGGGCACAGCAATGGCGCTGGGCGACTGGCAATCCTCTGGCTTGAACTGTGGCAGCGCCTTGTACTTTTTCTCAAAGTCCACTTGCTTGAGCACACTGGAAAGGCAGTAGAAATTAGTTGGTGGATCATTTAAGATGCGACAACGGGCAACTTACTTGTTTACTTCATCGCTCTTCTTCTTGTGCGACACCACTGCAGGGGCAGAGGCGGGCACGCCCCTTATTGGCGACTTCACTGCCGAATTGTTGCCAATGGCCGTGGGCGTTAGTGGCTGCTGCTCATCACTGCTGGGCGTTGTGGTCGATGAGGTGGGCGTGGGCAGAGCCGAGCTGAGGCTGCTGTTGTTCACATGGCCAATGATGGGCGAGGAGGCGGCCACCTCCATTAGCGCTGGTGAGTGCAGCTGGCGTCCAATATGCTGCCCATTGCTGACCCCATAGCCGCCGCCTGTGCTGTTGTTGTCCGATTTGCTTTGAGCTGCATTTACACACACGACACACAGACACACAGACAGTAAGATTCAGTTAGGTCAGTTCCGTCAATGACATTCGGCTACTCACATAAATTCTTGCGCCGCTGCAGCGGAGCACGTCCCAGTTGCGCTGGCGTTGGAGCCAATACAAACTGCTGACCATCAGTGTCCACATCGACATCCACATCGGCATCTTCAGCAGGAGCATCGCAGCTGCGTTTGCCGCTTGTCAACTCGGACGATGCACTCAGATGATACGAGGCCGATTTGGGGGTGGATGGCATCGACTTGAACGACGGCGAACTAGCCGGTGGCTGTTCCTGGCCATGGCTGCTGGGCGCATAGCCATGCAGGCGCATTGCTGTCTGCGCAACAACCTGCGGCAGTGGGGGCGGTGGCGCACCCTGCACGCCCAGACCACCATTGTGCTTCTTGAAAAGGTAGCCGGACCCAAATGCGTCCAGCTGCAGGTGCTCCAGGCCAGGCGCGTTCTGTTGATGAGGCGGCGGCAGCAACGGGTACTAAAAATAATCCGAATTTTAGCAATTGCAAATATCAATATCACTCTAGCGCATTTAAAATTCTCAACAGGTTCAAGTTGCGCAAGTCAAAACTGCTTTGATAGCAAAGTCTGGCAAATACTTTCTTTCTTTTTATTCAACTTACCGGATGACCCATGGCAAAGAACATTTTCTGAGCTGGCGCTGGACCCGTCGAGCCAAGAATCTGTGCTGGCGCCGAGGCGGGCGGTGTGGCAATGCTAGCCGCATGCCCCAAGCTAACGGTTGCCGGGGAGTTGGGCACACAGGCCTGATGGGCTGCGGATGAGTTGGAGTTGATCATAAGAATGGTGGTGCCATCGTTGCTTATGCTCTTGTTGTTGTTATTGTTGTTATTATTATTAATGTTGTTGTTGTTGTTGTTGTTGTTGTTGCTGATGTTCTTGTTAGTTTTATTGCCACTGTCGACAGTGGCTGTTATGGTTAGTTCATTGGCTTTATTAGTACTATGATTTGATGGTGTCGCCATCGCCTTGGTTAGCACGGTCAGCGTGGGCGTGGTCGTGTTGGCCGTGGTGGTCAGAATGCGCGTATTGGCCGGCAGGGTGATTTTGTTGCAAGCATTGATGCTGATAAAGGATAATGGGCGCAATGTTGCGCCAGAATTTGAGACAGCAACATGTTGCTGATGATTGTAGCTGTTGACATCGGTGATGAGCAACATAGTTGCCGGCTGTTGCACAGTGCTTGACGTTGGTGTTGCTCTTGCTGTTGTTAATTTATCGTTAGGTTGTTGCACCTGTTGTTGTTGTTGTTGTTGTTGTTGTTGCTCATTCGCAGCGTTGCCGTCGTCGTCATCGTCTTCGTCGTTCCCGTGCAACGTATCCAGCACTAAAGCGTCATACAAAATTGCCGCACGACCTGTGGCTTTGCTGGCATCTTGCAGTGTCAACAGTTTGCGGATTATTGAAGTTGTTGTTGTTGTTGTTGGATGGGTGTTAATATTATTGGTTGTTGTTGTAGTTGTTGCAGCAGCAGCAGCAGCAGCAGCGTTATTAAAATTATTGGAAAATTGAATAAGTTGCTCGTTACTGTGACTAGTTGTTGTTGTTGTTGTGGTTGTTGTTGTGTTTGTTGTTGTTGTTGTTGAAGTTGTTGATGTTAATGTTGTTGATGTCTGAGCTTTTGAACTTTTGAAAAATAATGGCGGCGGTGTGTTGTGTTTTGGTGTTATTGTTCTTTGTTGTGTGCGTATAATGGTAAAATGATTGCGCGGCAGCGACGCGGGCGTCGCCATGATCGTTGATGTTGGCGTCGACGTCAACGTCGACGTCAGCGTCGGTGTCGGCGTTGGCACGCGTGTTATAACTGTTGGCGGCGTTTCGACACGCCGCTGATGCAGATGCTTTAGCTGCTGGTGTGGTGAGTTTGCCGGTTGCAGCGGCGTCAGAGAGCGCACTATGGTGAATTGCTTGCGCTTCAACGTAGGCGTATTCGCTGGCATGGCCGTGGGCATGGGTGTTGCTGGCTTTGCGATCGTATACTGTGCTATGTCATCGAAGTCTGTGGTCACACTGGCCAGCTCTGCCATAAACTGCTCGTCGTCATCTTCGTCATCGTCGTCATCCGCTTGGTCGTCGTCGACGTCTGCGTCGTCGGCTGCGCACGCGTCGTCGTCCTTGTCCGTTGCTAGATCAGTGCTGGGATTGACTTTGTCTTGTTTTTGTTTGGGTTTGAGTTCTTTTGCTTTTCGAGTGTGGTGTGGTGAAATGTGCGTGAGAGATAGCAATGGACGAGGTAAAGGCGTGAGTTGAGCAATTTTGAATGGGTGACAAATTGAGTGTTTTTATGTGCGGGTTTTATGCGAGCGTTTTGGAGAAATAGAGAGAAAGATGTATTGCATAAAGTTTTTGTTAAAAAAAAAAACAAACAAACAAACAAATGCAAATGGTTGGGGGCGCGGCGAAAGTTGGTTGGATTCAAATATAATATTTAAATAAATTATGTACTCAACATCAAATCATAATCATAAATAAAGCCAATAATATATATATATACAATGAATAAAAGCAAAAACAACAACATAAGGCCTACAACAATTTGAATATAAAACAATAAGAAATTCAACTCAATAGAGGCATTAAAATATACATATGTATATATATTTTCGTAATTCGTCTTCGTCTTCTTCTGCTTCTGCTTCTTCTGGCTCTAAACTCACCTCTCACATCGGTCGGACTGCAGAGCGTATGCGGCATGGGATAGTGATATTGCTTTTGACTGAGAGCCGTCGCAATTGGCACATTGAAATTAAAGATGGCGCCGACAGCGCTGCTGGGCGTTGGTGCGCTAATCACGCCCCCCGAAGTCGCAGCAGCATTGCCACCATTCAGCTTGTAGGGCGATGGTGGCTCCTGTTTGATGTCCTCCTGTTTGATGTGCGCCGCAGGCAGCTGTTGCTCATCCGATTTGGAACCGGAAGAGCTGCTGCCCCCCTTTGGACTGATGGGCATTGATTTGAAGGCGCCGCCTAAACAAAAATTAAAGATACCAAAAACAATGAGCAACTGTTGCTTATTGAAGCTAATTGAGATTTGTGCTTGCTCGCCTGTGGGTTGGAATGGTGTTACACCGATTGGATTCTTGGGACTAGTGTAGTGCTTGAACATGGGCATCTGCGGATACGGCAGCATGGTGCTCTCCAGGCCCGGATGGGCTTTAATCGCCTTTGGCTTCAAAGTGATCTCGCGCTCTGCGCTGGATGCCGGAGCGGACATAGTCTGGCCATTGCAGAGACTCGCATGATCTTCCTGGGTGCGCTGTAGAATAGGAATGCATGAGCACAGTTGGCAATAAAACACACCCGAATACTATAACAGTTACCCTGATGATAGTATGTATTGCCCAGATTGATGGGAATGGGGATTTTGAACTGCTTTCATTTCCGTTGATCTCTTTTAAAGCTTACCTGTTCGGCATCCGTCTGGATCTGTTGCTGCTGCTGCTGCTTGCGATAGTCGTAGGGCGCTTCATCCATGTCCAAGTCGTTAACGCGTTCGCGGCATTGCAGATCCAGTTTTGTGGGCGGCTGTTCATCCTCGACGACAAGCATTTGCTCATCCTCATCGGACTGCAGTTCGTTCTTGAGCTGCTTGGTCTTGCAGTTACCCTGCGACTGGCCGGCAACGGTTGTGGGCGTCTCCTCGCAAGCAATGTTGTAGGTGTCAATGGTCAGTGGGATGATATCGCCCTGTAGCTCGACGGCTTGGGCACCGCCGCTGCCGCTGCCGCCGGGCGTGGAGGGGCACATGTCATCCTCCAACGAATCGGAGCCATCCACAGAAACCAGACGCTGTTTGTCCTCGTTTGCGGCATTGCCGGACGAGGAAGCGCCACCCTTGCCCGATGTGGAGGATTTGCGGCGATCCTTGGAGCACCATTTCCAGTCCGGATGCAACTGAAAATGCGCATCCTTCACTGATTTGGCCAGCTCATGATACTGGGCCTTCTGATCCGGCTTCAGCGCATACCACCATTCGCCCAAGATTTTGCTAACCGTGCGATTGTCCTGATTGGGATGCTTCTTGTGCACCATCTTGCGATGCTTCTTCGAGAATATCATAAAGGCGTTCATCGGTCGACGTATCTTCTTGCCTGCGGCCGCCGCCGCAGACTGCTGCTGCTGCTGCTGTTGTTGCTGCTGCTGCTGTTGCTGCTGTTGCTGCTGCTGCTGCAGCGCACTAAGCGACTGACTGCGCCGCTTGGCCGCCGAGGTCGTTGGGGCACCGGCTGCCCCTTCGCTGGCATCATGGCAGTCGTCCAGTTTGCGTATGTTGCTGTTGTACGTGGGCAGTCGCATGGCTGCCGTCGGCGCCTTTTTGCCATTCGACATGGCTGGCGCACAGGTCGTGGCCTCAAACACATCATCGTCCAGCTGCTCATCGGCCTCATCAGCTTCATCCGGCACACTGGTCGTGGATGCTGCTGCCGCCGCCGCTGCTGCTGCTGCTGCTGCGGCTGCTTTTGCATCGTTCATGGAACAGTTAAGCGGCTTGCCGGGCGATGCCATCGGCGCGGGCACAATCAAGTGATTGTTGTTGTGATTGAGCTGCGGTTGCTGCGCTCCTGCTGCTGCTGCTGTTATCGACGGCATTGAGGGAGTTTGCTGCGACGACAACTGTTGCTGCTGGTGGTGCAACATGGCCACGCTGTAGTTGCTGTTTGTGGTTGTCGTTGTCACCGCTGTCGCTGGAGGTGCTTTGGTCATGGCTGGCATTTGCGGCAGTAGCTTTTGCCACGGATAGCTAGCCGCATTGTAGCCTGAAAAGGACATAATGGAAAGTAAGGATTTGAATACGGATTTAAAAGAGGTAAACGCGTATCGTATCAGATCTGATATTGACTAACTTTCGACTCATATCCACAGATTTATTTTGTGCGGAGAAATTTCCAGAAAAAGTATTGGAAGCTGTGGACAACTTTGACTAATAGATAAAGAATTATTTTTAGAATTCTTTTTTTTCTCAAAAAGTTATTGCTTTGATTCAACGGAATTTCAAAACTTATTTTGGTCAAACAAAAACCAAATGCGAGTTGTTCTCTTATTTTTGTAACTCAATAAAAAAATCTGTAGAAACCTGAAACTCTACAATTATATTTTGTTTGCAATGCGTAACTAATGTAAACAAATATTTGTATATTTTTAAATTGTTTGTAAACATTCTATAAACACATTTAAGCTGTCAGTCCAACTGTCCGCTTAGAATTAGAATTCATTTCGCAATCAGTTATCAATTTTGGAGTCAATTTTCTTAACGATTTGTGGGCACGCGACTTTTTGAATGACTCGCAAAAGGTCAGACTGCTTTTTCTGGCACTCACCGTTTTTTGGCAATGCATTGTCCGTGGGCACAGCCACTGTTACGGATGTAGGCGTGGTTGGCGGATGTGAATGAAACGTAACCGATGTGGGCGGCGGCGGCGGCGGGGGTTGTTGCTGCTGCTGCTGCTGCTGCTGCTGCTCAACGGAAGCAGGCAATGAATTCTGCGTATGAATCTGCGTCTGTTGGGCCGCATTCACGATGACAGGGTGAAAGGTTTGATGCCCGGCCGTGGATACAACAACATGCTGCTGCTGCTGCTGCTGCTGTTGATTTGGTGCCGACTGTTGCTGCTGTTGCTGCAGTTGCTGCTGCTGTTGGCTGCTGGAGATGCGTATGACGCTGGTCGCATGGCCAACGGTGCTGCTGCTGGGCGGAGCTGGTGGAGCCGGCAGAGCATTGAGATGAGCGGCAGGTGGCTGTTGTTGTTGTTGTTGATGCTGCTGCTGTGTGGGCGGTGCATGCATCACCAGCGAAACGGCCGCCGTTTGTGGCGGTGGTGCAGGTTGTTGCTGTTGCTGCTGCTGCTGCTGCTGCTGCTGGTGCACAGCTTGACTGTTCTCCCAGCCATTGTTGCTGTTGTTGTTGTTGTTCGTATTGTACAACACTGGACTGGGTGTTGTCGTCACTAGCTGCTGCTGCTGCTGCAATAGTTGCTGTTGCTGCTGCTGCTGCTGCTGCTGCTGCGACTGGTTCGCAATGGGCGTAAAGAAATTTTGCCTATGATTGGACACATTGACCGGGGAGTGGGCGATGGCATTCAGTGGATGATGATTCACGGGTGATGTGTACGATGGCGTTGCAGAGCGCGAGCTGCTCAGTGACACTGCAGATAGAAAGATAGTGTGACAGACGAAAAGAGAGAGGGCGAGAGAATGGGAGGGGGTATATTAGTTATTTGTTGGAATCACGATTGTTTTCATTTTAGTTTTTTTTTTTTTTTTTTATTACATAAGCACTGTAAATATAATTTAGCGCCCAGCTCAAAGTCCTGGAACGCGTTCATAGCGCTGTCGCCGCCACTGCCCCCTTTGCTGCCGTTGCTGCTGCTCACTGCTTGGCTGCTCCCCCTCCTCAGTTAAAGAACAAGCACTTCGATTGGCATCACTTTCGGTGCATATTATCGTATTTAATTTGCTTGAAAACTTTTTGTCGTCGTTGTCAAATTCGTTTTGTCTGCTGCATTCGCATCGGTATTCACTTTTTTTTTTGCTTTTGCGCCGCGTTCTGTTCACAGTCTTCTTGCCTTGCCTTTGACAGTTTTCAACATAAAATGCGACGACGACGTCGACGACGTCAAAAGAACAGCCAGCAATTCAACTGAGCGCGGCTAGCGACAGCATAAACTGAGCGCCGCTCTCACAATCGTCAGTTATTCGCTCATTTTGCTCTCTTGGGCTCGCTCACGACGTCCATGTTTGTTTACCTGTTGTGGCTGTGTGGGTGCTGTGCTGCTAGCTGTTGTATGTCGTTTAATGTCCGTGTGTGTGTGTGTGCCTGTGTTAGTGTGTGCGTGTGAGTGCGCTCTCTCAAGTGCATTTTTGTTTAGGTAAAAACGAATCAAAGGCAGGGCAAATAACGAGAAAAGAAGAATCTGTTGCGCTTCGCACGCAGCGCGCTTTTGTTTCGGCTGCGCTGCATTGTTCGTTTCAAGTGGCGGCGTCGACGTCGCTGCCTTGATCGCTTGCAGGTGCATTGGAATGCGTACGCGTCGCTGTCGCTGTCGACGTCGCTGCCTCTGCATTTTGCTTTTGCGTGTAAATCACGCTGCGGTCATACTTTCAAGTGGCTCGAAGAGCTAACGTTGTTGTTATTGTTGCTGCTGCACGCACACGTCAAACAATAGAAACCCTCATCGGGCACGGCCCCTGAGAACACCTTAACAAAACCAACGACCTTTATCCAGAGAGGTGTGCATGTGTGCCTATCAGTGAGTGTCTCTCTCTGTGTGTGTGTGTGTGTGTAATATGGTCAGCAACGGCGCTGTTGCTATAAAACTTTATGATAGGCATTTTTATTAGGAATTGAAAATTCATTCGGACCAATGTGAAAGTCTAAGCAGCACCAACCGTTCAAATACGCTACACCCAAGTATGTCGGGTACACTACAATATATATACATTAAAGCTAAAGAATAAATGAAGATTGTCGTGGTTTTGTGGAAATCATAATAAATAAAAATATGTATTTAATTTAAATATATTTTTAGCCACTGACTAATTGAGAGCTTCAATTATGTATTGCTAACTTTAAATTAATTAAAAAAAAACATGTCTCCAGATGCTCAGAACATTTGAGTGTAGCGCATTGAATAGTCTCTTCGGCCTAAGCTGAACGCACATTTCTAGAAGCGCCTTAGAAAACAGGCCAGCACCGCCTGGATGCAGTCGAGGCTGGGCTGCGCTACGATCTGCTCTTGTCCGTTTGTAGCTGTGTGGGTAATTGCGTGAACACAGACAGATTAACAGCTTAAGCTGGCGCTCAGTTGGGAACGCAGCCCAGCCCAGTTTAGGCGAGGACTAGCTGGGAAAGCCAGCCTTGAAAATGAATGCAAGTGAAGTATGAATAAATTTTGAAAAACAAAAAACCCAAATTTGTTGCTTTTATGATTAAACTGCGGAGGATCGACAGCAACAGGGCTGCGGCGTCATAAAAGTCAAAAGGTGTGAGTTGCACGTACCTAACATGGCGGCCACATCGGTCTCCTCCTGATCATAGCGACCCGTGACCCGATGGTTGGGCGACGTTTCCGAATCACGAGAGTTGTCCTCATCGTTTTGCGTCTTGCTGCTCGAGCGGCTATCACTAAAAGAGATTGAAAGAATGAGAGAGAGAGAGAGAGAGAGAGAGAGAGAGCGAAACGATAAAGAGAGCATTAGAACAGCAGCAATCAATGCAGAGCATTTAGGTTTAGAGGCGCACCTGAGAAAACGACCCGGCCCCGTTGAAGAGGGCAGCGCATTGTTGCCCTTCTGATTCAAATGCCTCGAACAATAGCCCCGCCGCTGAGATTCTTTCATGCACAGCATGCAGAGACGTCGCCATTGCTTGCCATTGTACTTCTTGCGCACTCCGGATTCCGATTCCACAATGTCGCCCTTCTTGAAGCGATGCGGCGTCGTTGCCTGAGATCTGTCAACGAAAATACTCTGCTTAATACACACGCACACACACACACACATGCACATTTGTTGCAATTAATGTATTCAGTTTAAGCAATGCTCGAAATAAAGTCAACCAAAGGTGTTACGACCGCAGACAGTGCAGTCAACGCCTGCAGCGATCAAAAGCTTTTGCGGCTCTCTTTATTCTCTCTCTAATTCAAGAGAACGTGTGCCGTAATTATAAATGTAACGAGATTCTCTTAAGATATGCCAGCATTTACATCCTTTCCCATCCAGAATTGGCATGGATCTCGATAACTACGATGCTTCTACACCTTTTGCGACATCTCCTGCCGTTTTTAATAATATCGATAAGAATCGTTCTAGGTGTTTGTACACTTAGTAGCTGACTCTCTCTCTCTCTCTCTCTCTCTCTCTCTCTCTCTCTCTGAATTGTTTAATACTCTGCTTACAATCTTGTCTCAATGCATATTCCACATAGATATTTCTATCGCATGATAGATATCGATTATTGATATCGATATCTTTCATTCAGTCAGTCAATCGGTCAGGACTGACACTTTGATATAGATTTAGATAAATACGTATTAGATTTTGAACTTTGGTTCCCTATCTATGAAAAAAAAATCCGTATGAACTTTCTTACCTTGGAGTTGCTGGATGAGATCGTGGTGTCAGCCTCTGATCAAGTAAGCTGGATGTGCTGCCGCGGCTCTGCATGCTGCTGCGCTTGCTGCCGGCGCTCATCTTCTCGGCATCCACATCCCCGGCAGCCGGTGAATAGTCGATGCCGACGCGCTTCAGCTCATCATCGGAGTCGTAGTCGTCGTAGCCGCGCTGCTGTTGCTGTTGTTGCTGTTGTTGTTGCTGTTGCTGCGCTGGCGATGGCACGTGCATTTTTAGTGGCTGGTGATGGTGTTGCTGCTGCTGGCCATTGCTGCCCGGCGAGATCACAATGTCCGGCAGACCATTGGCCTGCTGGTGGTGGTGGTGGTGGTGCTGCTGCTGCTGTTGCTCCACAAGCGCCAACGGCGGCGGCGGTGGCACCGCACCGCCCTGGAACGGCGACGTGGCAGCCGCTCGATAATACTCATGTTTTTGGAGCTGCTGTCCAGCGGTTGGTGCGCTCGTTGGCAGCTTGCCGTCATACCGCGTGGCCACAAAAGCCTTGGGGTATACCACACTGCTGTTGGCAACAGTTGCCGGCTCCGGCTTACGTTTGACGCCAATTGCCGGCGGTGTTGCCGTTGGCGTCAGCTCGTTCAGCTCATCCCACCAGGGCGGCAGCAGCAGTCGCAGGTCCGCGCGACGCACAACTTTTGTATTGGGCTACAATGGAAATTCCATAAACATATTGCTAACATCGAGTTGATATATTCTCCACTTTGCACTTACCAATTCATCATTGACTAATTGCACGGTAAATTGCTTGGTTCCCTGGTTGATCTCCATAATGATGCCCTCCACATACACGCAGTCCACGGTGCGTCCTTCGAGACTTTGACGCACACAGACGCGTGCCTCCAGCGTGATCTGCAAAGCAGCAAAGTTCGAGTTAGGATTGCTCAATAGATCTGTATGAGAAGGTAGTTTGGCACTTACATCAGCCATCGGCGGACTGGCATCCAGTATCACATTGTAGCGTCCCTGTTGCAGCACATCCTGATACAGTTGCTGACCAAATTCGGTGGCATCAAATTTCACGAGTATTGAGTGGTGCGTGGATTGGGGCGTGCTCATGCTTGTTGCCTCTTGCACTTGCTGTATTTTGCCGGGCGCATAGCATTTGCCCACTTTGGCCAGGACACGCGTGTTGGTCCATTCGCTGAGATCGAGTAGAGCAACAGGCTCGTGTTGCTGCTGTTGTTGCTGTTGCTGTTGCTGCAACTGCAACTGCGTCTGTTGCTGTTGTTGTTGTTGTTCCTGTACATGTTGCTGATGGTGTGAGTTAAAGCTAAAACGTGGTTGCTGCTGTTGCTGCTGGGATTGCTGGTAGTAGACGGGCGTGTGTGTGCGCGAATGATTGATTGCTGCATGATTGTTGATGTTGCTATTGTTGCTGCTGCTGGCAACATGTTGCTTGTAAGTACTAGTCGCATGTTGCAGCGGCGAAGCGATTATAATACGTTGTTGTTGCTGCTGCTGTTGCTGTTGCAGATGTTGCTGCCTAATTTCATTGCTATTGCCGGCGCCTGCACCTGCACAATTCATTGCTGACGGTGGACTGACAATCATGCTGCGCAAAGCTAACGCACCTTGCTGCACGGCAGCAATATTGCCATTGGGGAGCGCATCGCTGCCATTGCCATTCGTCTCGGCGGGTTTTTGTTGCTTGTACATCGTGTGCTGTTGCTGATGCAATTGCTGCGGCTGGTGTTGCTGTTGCTGCTGCTGCTGCTGTAGCTGTTGCTGTTGCTGTTGCTCGGCTTTGTCCAGCTCAGCTGGATCAAATTTTCGTTTCTTGGGATGCTGGCGCGGCTGTGTTGGCTGCTGAGGTGTTGTTGCTGTTTGTAACTGTAATTGTGGCTGAAACAAAACATGTTGCTGCTGCTGCTGCTGCTGCTGATGTTGCTGCTGTTGTGGTGTCTCGACTGCTGCTGCTGCTGCTGTAGTTGTTGCTGTCGTTGTTGTTGTTGCTGTTGGTATACCGGCGGCTGCAGTTGTTGGTATAACCATTGTGTTGGCGGCAACAACAAAATGTTGTTGTTGCTGCTGCTGCTGCTGCTGCTGATGGAGATGTTTATTTGTTATGACATAAGTTTCGCCAGCGGCAATTGTGGCAACTGCTGCTCCAGTGTGTGTTGCTGTTGCTGTTGCTGCTGCTGTTCCATGGGCAGCGCTGAGCATCTTAGTTGATGTTGCTCTCCTCGTTGTGGTCGTTCCAATTGTAGCAGCAACATGTGTGTGGCTTATTTGTTGCTCTCGTTGCTTTTCTTTCTAATGTTGGCTAGTGTCGGTCGCCCTTTTGCTATTGCTGTTGCTATTGCTATTGCTATTAGAATTGTGGCTGTAATTGGTGTTCTTGTGCAACGATATTGCCCGCAACATCTGCAACATCATTTGGCATGGCCGCCTGCAAGTGAAGAAAAAACAAACATTCATTTGCATTCAGTTGACAAGCGAAAACGCATTTAAATCGGCGCCCAATGGCCAAAATGTCATTTCATAATTAGCGCAATCCGCATCCTGACAATTCTGACATCCTGGCGCTACAACTTCGGTTAATGGCGCCTGTCGCCGGGGCAACAAAATTCAATCTCGGACCAAAAATACACTTGCACTGCTGAGTATATACACATCTATGCATACTGTGTGTGCGTGTGTGTGTGTGTGTGCGTGTGTGTGTGCGACGACGACGTCGAGAACGGAAACAATTTAATTTACACAGCCGTCCAGGCGTGGTCGGGCGTCGGTTCTGGGATCCTGGCGTAGGAGGCGTTTTTATTTGCAAAGAGTAAAAATAAAATACTCGTATAAATGATACTTGAAACATTTTATGCCAAAGCCGCATACCATCAAAGCACACCCCACACACACACACACACAGACGCACACAGACGCACACAGCCAAACGTCATTCATTTGCACAACAACTCAGTACAGTCGCATGAAAAATTAAAATCATCTGGCAACCCTACACAGAAAGAGGCAAACAGCTAAAAGCCCGAGAAACCAATTTGCCCGAGCTGCAGACGTCGAAGGACGACATTAAATACAGTGGGCAATTTCTCATTGATTTTTATTAAATTTAGCCAAACTACATTTTGATGATTCAAGAAATTTAGCATTTAATTAATGTTAATAAATTTTCAATTTGCAAACATTCTAAAAATGACATGATGCGTAATTGCAATGCATTGGTAAAACCACCAAACATGTTAAATATATCGATTAATCGATGCAAATCCGTAATCACATCTTATAAAAGCAACTCGTTATTAAAAAACAGCCTGTTCGCTAAAACCACAAAGATAAATTGGTATAAAGAAGTAAATTTTATGATCTACAGTATTTTGTGCTTGATGCTTTTTATCAAATGTATCTAATATACAGATCGATTGCTATTCTTCTGATTTATGTCATGTGTTTTGATTGAAAAGCCCCACTGCGCATCAATGCTGCTGCCTCGACATTGACAATCGAAGTACAGTAAAAGCTCTTCTAACGGGACTCCAATCGTCTTTCCCTTTAGTTAGCAGGGGAGGGAGTCTATTCAGGCGCAGAGTTACCAGATGAAATGCAGACATTGCAAAAAAAAAGTGATTTTAGGTATGCTGCCTTAACTGCATTTTTTATAAAATTAATATTCTATCTTCTTTGAACTAGTTTTAAGAATAATAACAATGAAAACATCATTTTTTTATGCATACAAATCTCAGGCTTGCTTGCCTGTACAAAAAGTATAGCATACTCCCAGGCTGGTCGCGTATATCTCTTACAGCATATACATATGCAAGTGTGTGTGTGTGTGAGAGCCGCAGTGTTGCCATATTTCGTCAAACCAATGCAATCGGCTTATCATTAATTTCACACAGAACATCAACTCACTCGCCCGCTCTCTCTACCACATTTTCGCTGACAGTGTCTATGACTGCAGGAAATGACTGCCACGCCCACTTTGGGCCACACGGTAGGACAACAACATAATAAAAAGCATTTGAAAGAAAACAAAAAAAGTTAACATAGCAACAGGAATAGTCTCGCGTAGTCCCGTGAGATCTTGCTGCTGTTTATTTTTGCTGCAGCTGTGACTGCTGCTGCTGTGCGGGACAAGTGCAATGATTGCTTTATTTCTTATTTCTCTCTTTGCTCTTTACAACTTTTCTTTTCATTACTGTTGGTTGCTAGGCTCAATCGGCTTGCAATTGTGTGTCTGTGTGTGTGTGTGTCTGTGTTTCGGTGTATGTGGGGGAGAGTTTCTTAATCTGCGTTACTTAACATTCTCTCTTTATTATTGTTTTTGTATTAAGCAGAGTTATGAAGCAGATTCTCTGATTTGTTGGTCAGCTTTTATGCAAAGAACAGCAATATACATACATGCATGCATGCATATATATATTCTATGGCTGAGTCTGAGTCTGTGATGGTGTTCAGTTAGGAGAGTGGGTGGGTATCGAGTTTATTTTGTTTTGCAGTGCTACCGATGCGTGCTTAAGTAAATTTACCATATGCATGGCTGGCTATTTGGTGTGACCTCCACAACTTCACTCCACTACCTTCAGTCCAGCCATCTGAACTGCACCCGCTCGTCTGCCAATCAGTCTGTGCTGTGCTTCTCGTGCACACAGCTTCTGCTACAGTGACGTTCAAAAAAGATGGCACAGTTTCTACTCAACTCGTTTATGCTAACAATATACACATTCATCCCAGCAAGTTTTATTTATATTTAGTTTCGAATTTGTCAATCGATTCCCTGTGTGTATGTATGCATATGAATCATTCCGAGTTTGACTTAATGCAACTCGAGAAAGGGAACAGAGATTTCTATTAGTGGATACATTTATTTGGCCACTACTGTATCGGTTGGTAGTTGTGGGTCACTCACAGTATTCATTTCAAGTTTTGACCACAGACCAAAAAGTGATTAGGTCTAAAATTAAAATCTGTGACCGTCCGTTATGATCAAATTTTTTAATCACATTGCAGATGCCAGCAACGCCACAGTCACGTCAAGGTGGTCTAATAGGGTATTATAAGTTAAGGGTAAAGTTTATAACAGGGTATCTTCTTGTTAAGCATTCTTGTTTATTGTTATCGGTTATGGTCATTATAATGTGCTTCGCAAGTGCAGTTGACAATTGTTCTTTGTTGTTGTCTATTGACATGTTCAGTTCAGTTACAATGTGCTATTGATTCAATGCAGAAATGATAAATTCTAAGCAAAGCACACACACACACACACACACATATATATATATGTATATGCATGTGCATATATATATGTATATGGTATGTGGAATAAATTTGTTATGATTTGTGTCGTAATTAGTCCAGAGAGTTCTTTGAACCTTAACGGTAGTTGTTTTCGTATCGTGTTTTGGCGCCAAATCAAAACGAAAGCGAAGCAAAAAAGCAGAAGTGTAAAATGCACTCAACACTCAGACAGGCGCAGAGGCTGCGCACAGAAAAACCGAAGCAGAGCCAAAAATGCAAGCCATAAACTTAATGCAGAGGGAGCGTACGTCGTAGCCGCTGCTGCTGTCGCTCCTTGCATCCATCCTCTTCCCACTCATACACACATTGCATTCGTTGCTAACGGCGCTGCCCGCACGCACTTACATTGACATGCACACCTATACATATATACAAACTTGCACACACACACACACTTACATGCAGAGCAACGGTAGCAGTCTGACTGTGCTTGGCTGCTGCAAAGTCAGTAACCCCACTCGTTGACAGCAGCAACAAATAACAACAAAAATGGCAGCGGGAGCAGCAGCACTAGACGAGAGCGCAAGAGTGGGGTAGACAATAGCGGGTACCAGAGAGCGAGAGCAAGAGCAAGAGCGAACGCTCAGTTGGCATGCGAATTTGTGTGCTGTGATTTTTATGTTGTTGCCAACTCGTCAGGAGTCTTCCCATTCTCTATAATAGCGACAACAACAACAACAACCGTAGCAACAAAACTCGTTGTCATTCAAAGCAAAGCAAAATGTAAAAACTGCAGCGCAGCATCATCAAGTGAGAGTGAGTTGGCCGCAAATGTTTTTAGTGAGCGGAACGGGGAGATCTTCTGCGGGTGCCGACCCACACCACATACGCCCTACAGCATCATAGCATAGCACCCCACCCTTGAAAAAAAGCGACAACAGCAACGCCGCTCATTTGCGTAGAGTAAATGCAAACAAGTCGTGCGTTGTTCGTCCCATACGAGTCACACACACACACACATACCCACGCGCACGCATGAATGCAATTCGCGCCAGAGGCAGAGAGAGATGGAGAGAGAGAGAGAGAGAGAGGAGAGAGAGAAATAGGGGAGAGAAAAAGAACTTACATTGGCGCGTGTAACAGCAGACTTAAACACAGTGCGGCGTAAAAAAGTGAGTACAATTCGACTTCAATAAGGTGAAATAACAAAATTCAGTTCGTTTTAGAAGCAATATTGTGTACACCTACAATTTTTTGTAACCAGTAGAATTTTTTAGTTTCTAGTTTTCCCTAGCAATAGCAATGATTAATGTGATGCAAATATGTGTACACATTTTATTAGCCATCAGTGTAGGTCAGCTCGTTCCCTGTGAGCATGCAGTTTTGTTACTGCTGCTGCACCAGCCTTTACTCATTTTTAGCTTTTTGCCTTTGCATGGCGTAAATTATTCGTATGCGCTGTGTTTGAGCTTACGTTGTTTTTGTTGTTGTTGCCAAGTGTGGGGCGCACTAGTGAAAAAAAAAAGGAAAAAAGAAGAATGAAGACTGCAGAAGAGGCGGAGTGCGGATTAGGGCAGCAGATTGGGGGTCGCACTGCACAATCCGTGTGCACTAAAAGAATGAGTGTGTGTGCCAGTATGCACATGTGTGCGAGTTATTTCATCTGTGTGTTGCTTTGCTGCCTGCCTGGCAACGAGCACTGCGAGAAAATGTTAAGCAAAAATCGACGACAAGGAACATGGTCGAATGAAAACGTACCAGAAGTATCAAGGCCCTTGCAAGGGTTGTGTAGGGACAATGGTGATGGTATTAGGTGTGCGGCGCGCTTTTTTTTTTTTTTTGATTGCAATGGACAAGGATGAGATGACTAAACAAAAAATGCAAAAAAAAAAACGACAAGACAAAAGATACCCTGTTCTGCTTTATCATCTGCATATAAAAATATGTATATTCATATGGAAAGTTTAAGCAGAGAACAACTAGTTAGTATTTATAAGAACTTGCATCGCTTGTCATTTTTTTTCTTTCAAACATTGCGCTAGGCATTTAATTTTAGCCGGCACAGTAGCAATTCTGCGAATAGGCAAACATTAACGGTAGCGAAGTCTACACACATAATGCTCAGCTCTTCGCTGGAAGCTGCGGCTCGACTGTTATTCGCATTGTTGGCTTCTTCCTTTTGCTGTTGCCGTTCGTTGTTCTAATTGGCTTTAATGCATTTCGATTAATTTGCGGCGATGTTGCTCAAATTGAGGCGCACACACTAATTAAAATTGTTGTCCTAGCTCAGCTCGGCGAAAAGTATTGTATTTCAGCCCACTCTCTCCCGCCGTTCGTTGTTTACTGCTAATTGGAGTCAGAATCAATTCGCACAGAACAACTCAAACAGCACTCAAACTATTACGCTTAAATGGCTGCAACTTGGCTATGGCTCATTGGAGCTCACTTATGTGTTTGTGTGGGGTTCGAGTATAATGAAAAGTGCATCGAATATACAGGTGCTTTGTCATACATATACACCTAATCCCGCTTAACTGCACGCATTGAAATGCCGAAATAGTACTCAAAACATTTGGAAGGAAGGAGCTTGTTTCCGATATTCGATAACTTGGCCCGTTTCCAAGTAAGCGATAAAAATCGATATCGAAATCCTGTTTTGGTAAATAATAAGAGCTAGAGTCATCAAACTTGAGATGTAGCTTCTAGAATGGTATATTTATTGGCATTTGGTGTTGGAAGAAGAGGGTTCAGGGTAGCCTCTAGTCGGTAGCTCCCGGCTAGAACCTCACACTTGATTTTAGATAATGTGGCGATAATCTATTGGCTGAATTATGATCAACATTATCTGTTTAAATACATTAGTGAGGTCAGATAGATGACTTGGAACATTATGCAATAGCAGCAAAGCTTACATATATGTATAATTATTACGTTGTTTAACTCAAGTGCAAAATGGTGTTATGATACACTCATTAAACTCATAGTCACTCATTTAAATGCAGTCTATTTTTGACAGGGTTTAATCAACAAATAATATGGATTGGCTTTGTCTCTTCACATTGGCTTTAAGTTTTTCTCGTTCGGGTATCCGTTTCCAATACGGCCTCCATTCTCGTCTTATTCAATTACATGTGTAGGATTCCTTTATTAGGTTCTTAAGTATACGAACAGTCTCCTGGTCTACACTGGTTCCTTCTCCCTTAAGCTAAACGTGATGTATCCTCTCCCTAGCATCAGATGTAAATGTTTACATAGACAGAGTCTGATTGAGCATCTTGATAGAGTGTTCTCTTGCCTTTTTCTAGCAATGACTCTAGTTTTATCATTCTCGGTAATCTTTATCGAGTTATTACTGTGCTTGCTGTTAATCAAATGAGAATATTTCTGGTATTTTAATAGGTATTTTTGATGCCGTTAAGTGAATAACGAGCTATGGACTGCACAACTTGCCGAAGAGTGTGGAAAAGGGAATATTAAAATATATAGCGGAAGCCACTCTCTTTTATTCAAATAAAAGTTCATTCAAATTTCTGATAGAAAATAAATTTAAGAACAAAAGATTAATTATGGATCTCAACACAGTAGCATTATAAGCCTTAAAATACAAACAAAAAGTGATTCGAAAGCGTTGCAAAATGTATTAAAATGTTGCAAAGTCCATGACGATGCAAAATGCGAACAGTCAGAATATCAGACATATATGTATGTATGTATATATGTGCATATAGAGTAAAGAGAGACAGCAAAAAGGGGAAAAAAAAGCGATTTTGCGTGCAAAAATATGGCGCATAAAATTTGCATTAAATCATTTCATTTGCCCCAAACAGAAACGTCAAACGGTAGCCAAAGCCAAAGAGCCGAACAACAAAGTGGAATGTGTTGCAAATTTGAATGCAATGTGAACACGACGACGTTGAGTCGAAAGAGTAAATGCGAGACTGAGTTAAGCGAAAAAGTACAAAAATAAACAAAACAGAATGCGCTCAACAAGAATAAACAGAGTTGAGGCTTTGCTTTTGCTTTTGACTGCTCTGTTGACGCGTTCCAGCTACTGTTATGGATGCTGGCGCTGGTTACTGAGCGCGCGTCTCTGCCGCCGCCGGCGTCGACGCGACGTTGACGCGACGTTGACGTTTGTCAATAGCTAGCTGAGTTCACGAAGCACAACTGGAGCTGAGCTTAAGTTGAAAAGATAGTGTGAGAGGAGGCAAAAATAAAATGTATTTGTGGGCAACAGTAACAGCAACAACAACAACAGCATTCAAGAAATCCAGCGCCAATGTCCAAGTTTAGCGCAGCAGTCGTTGTTGTTGCCGCTACTTTAATGCTTTTCTGTTGATGAAATTGATATTAAATCGGAGAAAACTAGGATTAGTTTTCAATTGCCACGAGAGACAACGAACAATAAGCATAAAATAGTTGAGATGCCGTTGCAACAAATCAATTGTTTGTAGTGATAATCTAGCGTTGAGAGAAAACGTGCGCAACTCTGCAGTTGCGTTAATCTCTCTAAATCACAAACAGTCTGAGCACAAACCGTTTGAAGTGAACGAACTGTTAAATAAGTTATCGATAATTAATCGATTAGGCGACGCATCAAAAGCCGATAGATATTAAAAATGAATCAATGAGTCAATTGGTAATCGTTTAGCTATAATGACATACTCGGACATAAATTTAATATGTAAATTGTTCTTAACCACAAATTGACTGTGCAAGCCGCTGACACCCAAGAAATTTCCCAGCCATATTAAATGGGTTTGTTAGCGAAAGTGTAGACGGGGCACCATTATTATCTATCTATGATTGGCTTAAGTTTAAATCGATAGCTAATTGACAACTGCAGCTGTATCAGCTCCAGTTGAATATGATGAAAGTATCAACAAAATGGCAAAGAACAATTAAATGAAAACTGTTGGCAACCCTGCCCCGGGCAGCGTTGCATTTTCGCACTACACTTATGCAAGGCAAGGAAACATTAAATATTTATAAAATACAAAAAACCAACACACAATCGCTGAGTTTGTTTAGTTTGTAGTTTTTTTTTTTTTTTTATTTTTTTTTGTTATTTCTTCTCTTTATACGACATGCAAATTGCATTTAATTGAGCTCTAAATGCAAATTTCTGGCGCTGCTGTGTTTTGATTTCATTGTTATAAGCGCGTGCGGTTTAAATGAATGTGCACCAGCATGCGGGTATTTATTTATTTTTTACTTTTCTCCATTTTATTTCCTCTCTAATATTTTTCAGAGTGCATCTATGCGTCTATATGAATAAGCGAGCAGAGAGACGGGTGGATAAATAGACGGATGGATGGATAAATGGATGACTGGATGCTTGATGCCATATGGATAACTAACCGAGTGAACATACTTGAGGGTATTTATTGTTCAAATCGATTTGAAGCTGGAATCGCACTTAAATTGCGAAGTGCAAATAGTGTCGGGAATATAGAAGCTTTGGTCGAGTGAGAAAAAACAAATCAGAAATTTATTTAGTTTTTTATTCCTTTTGAGATTGGAAATGTATTAAATATGTAGTTTCCAAATAGAACATTTACATTTGTATGCCGTCCATAGACTGCCTTCCAGATTTTATGTTTAATAATCAAACTGCAAACCGAACAGACCTTTAAGATGGTTCGGTTTACGTTTTCCATCCTAACTTGGGGATTCCCCTCAATGAAACTAGGTTTTGTGCGACACATCGATTACTAACTCTATAATAATAATATTTTCAAAAATATTTTAGTCAATTATGAGAAAAATCAATTTGTTTAAGGCATGACCGTACCGTTTACTTTAAGAGTCTTGTTTTATTAATTTCGGAACAATTCTATATTACCAGCTATATTATTTGTATATTGTTTGCTCAGTCAGTTTTATTTAGTGCAAATCCGTCCGTTTTTAGGAATAACTTGTTGTGTTCACTTTTTTAAATGCTAGCACGATGCTTAGTTGGGCCTGGCTCTTTTGTATATACCAGATGTCCAAGAGCATTTGCATAAAATTGATTTGCGTTTCTTCTTCTTTTTTTGTTGCTAGCAAATTAGACAAACAAGTCGCAAACAGGATGGTTCCGGACCAATTTACCCTCGGGGCCTGTCAACGGGCGGGCAACTTGTCAGCTGCCCGGCTTAATAGATTTTGCATTGTCTGCTTTAGTATTTTTTTTATATTTTTTATTTTTATTTTGCTTTTAGCTTCACTGAAATAGCTTATAATTGGATTGACTTATTTAATTGAGCAACGCCATGCTCAACTGCCTATAAGCTTTTCTCTGCTGCCCATCGATCAGGTTGGGTATGCATATGTTTTAATTTACGCCACAATAAAAAATCAATAAGGCCCTCAATCAAAATTGGACACGAGCCACTGGCACGCCCCCGCATTGGGCCACGGCTCAACTTTATTATCAACTTTGTCTAACAATGCTAATGATGCCCCAAGTAAAAGTTGCCTCAAAATTTTCCAATTTATCGAAGCCTGTTTCGATGGCTGCGTGGGCCGCAAAGCTTGTAAAATTATAAGTTTGTTAATGCCTAAAAGAGGTTGGTTGGAAAATAAAAGAAATATAATTAAATTACAGCGATAGGCATACATATTAAATAAAAATAATTTTTTTGTTGAAAAAAAATAAGACTGTTTTAGAACATTGCCACTTTGCCACAGAAGCATATTTCTAGATGTGTATGTGCTTTCATTCACATTCGAGCTTATTTCAAAGTTTGCACATAATAAGGAAATTAGGAAATCGTATTAAATGTATACGTATAAAATTGGCATATTATAATAATTTCTTTTTTTTTATTTATGCACGAGTACTTTGTAGGCATTAATTATATATAAATATATGTAGATACAACTTACCCAAAACTTCACATATATAGAAAGGAAGACAGACAATTGAATGTGCACATGACTAAAAAAGAAAAAACAATATAGGTAAAGAGCTGATTAGAAAAATAAGAGAAGGTTGAATTAACTGAGAAAAAGGGAAGAGAAAATAAGAGAGAGAGAGAGAGAGAGTGAGAGAGATAGAGAGAGAGAAAACAAAGTTTATAAGATTGCCAACTAGACTTGTTAAAATAATACTTAGAATCAAAGCTAGAAAATGTGAACTTCATGAAAATCGCATAGAAGGGCACATTGCGTTGTTACATATATCATATATGTATATGTTGAGAGAGAAAGTTTGAATTTGAGTTTGACCGACATATACATGCGTTATATATGGAAAGTTTCCCCATTAAGGAAATGTAAACTTATTTCTAAACTACAAACTGATGTGTAAACAGCAAATAATTTGTATTGGTAATAGAAACTAATTGATAAATGGTCATTCACATAAAAGACCTATGCCTTATTAACAGGTATTTTTTGTTAGGACTCGTAACTGGGCGCCTTTGAGAAAATATTAATGCGCAATAACCTAAAATATAAATCAAACCCTCTCATCAACAGCGAACAAAATAAACAGGGTGAAACCTTCCAAGAACTTGCCGCAACATCAAACAACCCACACACACTCGCACACACACACACACACACACGCGCTCGCTGCAGATACATTTCCCGCTCACACACTCATATGAAAGTCATGTGACAAAATATTTTATAAGGCCTAAATATGTATGTATATAGTAAGAAAAAAAGGCAAACTTTATATGTATATAACAAAATTGCTGTTGGGTTAGCTTTTTAAATGCGAAAAAAAAGAAAAAATAATATTTCAATTGGCAAGCTCAACTAATACACACACACAAAGAAAAGGGGGAATGGGGGGCAGAAAAGGTATCTTTAGAATTCTTTCTTAAGTAACCGCATAAAACGCTTACACAGCAGCTGCCTAAGGGGACGAGTGTTGGGTGAGAGATATCGGGCTGCAGTAAACTTGAATCCTTGCGCACGGATTAGGGTTCCCCTCGACCAGCTCGCAGCTGAGGCGTCGTGCAAACTATTACGTCCGTAAGTGTCAAAGGCAGGCGGCATCGTATTTGGGGGAACGAACTGTGAGTTAGTTTGCACTCTGTTAACATTAGAAAACCGCTCCTCAATTGATTTACATAGAACATCTTTGCACAAAGGAAAATATTGTACAAGTATTGCAGCTCGTAAAGTGTAATCAGATAGCTGATATGCTAGCCAGTTGACACGACTGACTGTGAGATATCCATTGATCACAATTTACATTTGCATTTATCATTACATAAATGTTTTGTTTTTATTTTTATTTTGTTTTGTTTAGATCAACAGGCAAGTATTGTGCTTAAGATCCCGCAGACTTAAACATGTCAATTAACTGGTTTAGGAGAAAAGAGGCTTTTACAGGGTATAAATTCGTACATAAACTAAAAATGTTATCTTCTGTGTGCCGACGATTGAACATATGTACATAAAACTAGGTGAGTTGGATAGTTTAAGGAGCTTTTCAAATACCAAAACAGTTTTTATTAATAAAACTTTAAAATATAAGTGTCTTGAAGGGGGTTGCTAGGCGAGAAGGTACCTTGTACTCAGCGCCAGAGCTGTCGTTAAAAGCAGTTGCATTTTTTTGTATAAAAAAAGGACATTATTGCATTCTTCCCTTTTGTCATTCCCAGCTCTTATATTCTCCGAACTAAGCATTTATTTGTCATGTCATGCCATTTCACACAAGTCATAAAGTATATAGTTTTTGAATGTTCCGAGAATGACGTGCTCATACTGATTGAGATGCCTCCTGCCACATACCTTTTTTTTTAACAACTTGCAACTGGTGCTGGGTATACAAACATATAAGTTAGGAATCGAAGAAGTATGGACTAAAGCGTTAGATATTTTGTGACAAAACTATACAAATATCCTCATATAATACATGTAAGCCGCTAGAGCTGTTGCCCATCAGTAAAACTGGCAGTATCAAGGTCTTTTGCCTATTGGTGCCCTGTGCCAGGTCCTTATCCGGATATTAAAGAGTGGGCTTGTCAGGCTAAGACCTGTTGGGCGGAAAAGCTTAATGTGCGGTAACTAGGTTACCAGAATGATTGCCGCAGGGAGCTTGCAAAGCGCCAGTCGCAATTAGCTAAGAATACCATCTAAGATGTGTCCAGATACTCGTGTAAGTCTTTACTTTACGCTGTGTATAAAAATAATACAAAACTGGCACGATAATTTACTGAAGTCTTGAAATTTGTAGTTTTAAAGTAGAACAACATTTTATAAAATTAAGGGAATACATTGCGAGTTTCATTCTATGTTCTTTCAGTATATTTAAATATCTATGTATATATAATATCTTAGCTGAAAGAACTAAATGTTTAATTTGAGATATTTATGCACTTTGTTTTCTTTTTTAAAACGTAGCTTAATCGTATCTTATTGCGCAAAGTGTATATAAAAGAAATATGCCAAATTCAATAAACTATTATAATAATCGCGCAAATTAAACAAATTGAAAAACATTTTTCGTTTACTGAAAGATTGTATTGCCATTAACCCAGAGGTCACTCTGGACTCTATGTGTGTGCTAGTACGAAGTGAACGAGTACTGGAAAGTTGTATGGAAACGACGCTCAAAAGTCAAAATGTGTTTAAGGTAAATAGAAAATCGAAATATAATATCACGCAAATATTTGACACCACTTAGCGAATGCGTGTGCACTTTGTTCGTCTCGTTTAGTCATTTGAACATTTTTCCCCCTATTTTTATTATTATTATTTTATTTTATTTTTTTTTTAATGATCTATGAAAACAAATAGACGCAAAGGTTTATCTGCGTATGCATGGTGTCTGTGTGTTTTTTGGTTGATCCAACTCCGGCCGTCAGTTAGTTTGAATTGGGAGAAACCCTTTCCCTGGCGCTCGTCAGTCTTCATAAGTATTTGACCACAATGGAGTGAGAGGTGGGCAGAAGGTGCCGTCTTTCTGCTGCCTGGAGTGCTCTGTTGTTGCCATTTCTGTTTATATAGTCACTAATTGATTGTGGCTTATCTCGATTTTCAGATCGCCGCGCTAGGCTCTAAAAAACAGTGTGATCATGAGATGAAAAAACAAAAAGAGAGCTGAGCTAGAATATAATAAACAACTGTAAAGCTATAAACCGACAGAGAAGTGAGCTTACCCTTGTGTAAAAATATGTCTTTTGATTTTGCAGTAGAATTTTGAAGCTAATTTTGTGAGGTTAGCAAAAGATTGAATATCCTAGCAAAGCTAAGTCTTACGATTCGACAGGGGAACTGAACAGCCCATTTTCAAGATATCATACAAAACTATATTTTGCTTGCGATTCTGTCTAAATTGATATCATATAGTGTTGCGATGTTAAAGAAATGCGGCCACTCTGTGAATAGCATGCTAAGTTTGATAAAATGAATCGTTGTAATGGATTGGATTCTCATAAGAGACTTTAGAGTAAAAATAGTATTCATACAAGGACTTCATTTTTGATCGATTATTCCACAAATAGAGACTAGGTCCCGTAGAAATAGACAGACGAATAAAGAGTAGGCTGCTGGTACTGATTTATAGGGCGCGATACACACAAAGCACTCGACGCATTATGTACTCGGGTTTGTAAATAATTGCGTGGTTTTCAATTTAAATAAAATGTTCTCTGAAGTTTATAAATTATTATGTACAATAAATGAAATCAAAACGTTGGATATAGAACAGTGCACTTAAACTCGACCGGGCAGCTTAGAAAACTACTTACTAAAACTAATAATTCGGGTATATTTAAGCTTTGTCGAAATGTATATACCCTTTTCTGGCAGTATATTGATACTGAAACTCATATTTATTTGGCAGTTATTTCTGACACCTACAAGGTTGCCTTGACTGTGAAAAGATATGTGTCTAAAATTGTGGGCGTATAAAATTATGTATTTACCCAAGGCCACTTTATTTTTGGTGCATTGAGGAACCTTTTGTGTGAACCCAGAAAAAGACCTAAATAAATAGGCGAGCCAAATGAAAATACGCGAACATATGCACACACATGCTTCCACAAATTCCATGTGGGTTGTACTTTGTGAGGCTCGAGCAGTTTTTTTTTTTCGACTTTTGAGAATTTGTTTTGTGCAAACAGAATTGTGCGAGTAGCGAGGATTGTTAAGCATGTTTGTAATATGCACAGGGACTAAAGCAAATTTGGACACTTGCACACAAACAAGCCCACAATATAATTGTCCAATACTGAACTTGATTTGAGTCACGGCAAGTTTCGATTACTCAAAAGACCTTTATGACATCCCAGAAAAAAAGAAAAAAAAATGGTGAAAACTTGTTTCACACGTAGGTGACTCAGGTGAGTCTCTTCTGTCAGCTATCGGATAAAACCTCAACATCCAAGCGTCGTTTCGATTTCACAATCGGTGGAAATTGAGCAGCCGTTCAAATCGAGTGGGCTGCAAAACGATAAAGCTGTTGAAATTGCTTTAACGCTTTGAATAATTGAATAGGCTTAAGACGGGGAATAATGTTTCCAGCGTATGAAGTGACAGAGAGGACTATAAAGATAATAATTATTCATAGGCATTCAATTTTTTGACTAAGAGCTAAGAGCTTAGGAAGTTTTTTAAAATAATTAAATTTTATTATGTTTATAATGAGTTTGCAATGTGTATTCATTCAGTAAGGAATCGGTTAAAACTGATCGATAAAAAACTCTGCAATCGTTTTTTTTTTTTTGAATTCACTCGCCTTAGTGGAAAATGAATGGAAAACATTTAATTTAAGTTAAAGTCTTAGCAAAGCGTGCTATGTTTAAAAATAGTATGCTATGAAATATGTGTATTAAATATCAAAACTTTATGTAGGACATTTTCGGATTCTAATAGCTTAAGGCTATTACAAATTTGTTTAAGCACAAATATACAAAAAAAAAAACCCTCCTTCAAAAAAATAACACCCACGCACGCCAAAATAAATAAAAACAACTA